ACACGGTACTCTGTGCTGGAGGGGGCTTCGGTCTCGCCGTCCTTGGGCGCGGTGCTGGCACCAACGCTGATGCGCTTCTCGCCGTAAACGGACTCGCCGGGGGTCAAGTTCTTGGTAACGAGGAGATCCTCCTTTCCGCGAGCGACGAAGACACCGGCGTGACGATGGCTAGAGAAGTGGTTAGTAGCTGTCTTGCGCGCTTTTGAGCTGGCTGAACTTACGGCTCAACAATGACCTTGGCGCCTCCACGCGCTCCTCCACGGGCACCTCCTCGGGGCGCACCACGGCCTCTTGGGGCTCCGCGACCACGAGGAGCACCACCACGGCCGCCACGGTCACCGCCGCCGCGACCTCCGCCGAAGCCACCACGTCCACCCCTGGGGGTGAAGCCACCGCGACCGCCACGGTCACCACCAAATCCACCACGTCCGCCGCCGCCACGACCGCCTCTGTGAGAAGTTAGAACTGCGCTGCAGATAAATGTTCGTATGTGAGTGCGGAGAAGCTCGTAGTTCCTGCATCGTTCTGAAAACAGCTCAGAAAGAACAAGCTTCTCCGCAGCGTGGAGCGCGCATGCTGAGCGAGCAGACGTCAAGATTTGTAGTATCTGCAATCAAATCTTGCTCAACATGCCGCGGTTCGCGCATTGTTCATATTGCGATGGAATTTCGAGGCTTGCGGAAGTCGTACCTGGGAGTGAAAGCCATTGCTGAAAGTTGTCGGGATAGTTCGAGCAGGTTATGGGATGCGAAAGCTACTGCGCAGGGTTAGTCTTGAGATGGCAGAGTGCAAATATCAGCCCAAGTACCTCTGGGTGCTCTGTTCCACTATATGCGCGTTGACTGTGCGCGTTGAAGTGGCTGTGGGTACGGTATGTCGCGGTAGATGCGATGGGTGCAGCTTTGAAGTTCGCAGAGCTACATTTTTTCAAAAGTAGCGCCAAATCTGCGCAGCCAATCACGTGCGGGAGGCGCAAGCGGCCCGCTATAATGCCGTGGGCGCGACTTTGGCTTTTTTCGGTTGGGTCTGCGACTTAGTCATCAAGGCCACTTTCGCTCGAGAAGTCGTCGAAATTACCTACCACGTCGGCAGTCCACTACTAACAACAGCACAATTCGACAAAATGGTACGTTGCCCGTCGCGATATACTGTCGGACCTTGCACGCACGAACATGGAATTAATTCTTGCAGGTTCGCTACGGTGCCTCCTCCATTGACGGCGCAAAGTCTGCTCGCGCCCGCGGCAGCTACCTCCGCGTATCCTTCAAGAACACCCGCGAGACCGCCCAGGCTGTCAACGGCTGGAAGCTCGACCGCGCCCTTACCTACCTCGGAAATGTCCTGGAGCACAAGGAGGCTATCCCCATGAGGCGGTACGCCGGCAGCACTGGACGCACTGCTCAGGGTGAGTAGCCCTTCCCACGATTCGCACAATGCGCAGATGGAACTTGGCGCGGAGGAGGAGCTATCGGGTGTTGGAGATGGATCTATGTTGGCAATTGCAGGAACACGGGCTGACTTCCGCAGGCAAGGCTTTCGGTGTCTCCAAGGCCCGCTGGCCCGTCAAGTCTGCTGAGATCCTCATCGGTCTCCTCAAGAACGCCGAGGCCAACGCCGACACCAAGGGTCTTGACACCAGCAACCTGATCATCAAGCACATCCAGGTCAACCAGGCCCCCAAGCAGCGAAGGCGCACTTACCGTGCTCACGGACGTGTATGTATACACCGGTCCACAATCGCACTCCTCTCTAACATACCTAGATCAACCCGTACATGAGCAACCCCTCCCACATCGAGCTCATCCTCACCGAGGCCGCCGAAGTTGTCCAGAAGTCCAACCAGACCCTTGAGCGCCGTATGAACTCCAGGCAGCGTGGCCGTGCCGTCCGCAAGGCCATCACTGCTTCTGAGGAGTAGAGGAAGCAGGGGAAGTTGATGTTCCGGCGAAGAAAACGGTCAAGGCATGGGCACGGTTTGGGAGTCAATGAGCGATGAATATTCAGGGTCTTTCCACACTCGTCATGTATTCATGATATGGCACTTCGATTTCTGCGGTGTCTGGTCCGTAAAAATAAATAGGGCCAAGGCCTGTTCCCAAATGTTCAAAGCCGAGACTTCCAAGTCGCAAGTTCACGATGTTCGCCAGTGTATTTGATTCCTCTACGATGACAGGACGCTGAATGATTCCAGCGGTACATCTCTCCCAAGGTTCGGCCGCAGTCATCAACATGCTATTTCTTACAATGGAGCCAGTCCTCTACGCGTGCTCAGAACGAGCTCTGAAGGAATGCGCTGCTTGTTTACATTCTCGTAAGTACGACCAAGGATTTCAGGAATGTTACTAGAATGGATTTGCGGTACGACGTAGAGGAACATGGGCTGCTTTGACCAACTATGAACGCATGTCAGAATTGACCTCCACATGCATCGATAGACCCTGAGATTCTAAGATTTCCCGTCGTGTGCCTGGGGCTGACCGCAGGCTGCGCTAGTCTCAACATGCGTTAGCGTGATTGTGAACTTTGGCAGCTCGAACTCAGAATACCAGCTAAGCAAGGCCCAACGGCCAGCTAAGCATGCATGCCGCTAATATCTGAGATGAGGCTGGCTGCAAATCCCACATCATTTCCTTCGAGTCAGTTGCGGTCAGATACGATCTCTTGCCTTGCTGCAATTGCTCCGAGCCAACTTTCCCACGATCGATGACGCAGGCCCAGCAAGCCCAGGCATGGGCATGTACCTCGCCACAAAATGTGTCGAAAGATAAGTAGTCATGTATAGACTGGGATCTATCCGCTGTCAAACGTCCTTTTCCACAGATCTCTTTCTTTACTGGTAACGGCAGTCGTTCTTACGTGCATCGCTGCATACCAGTCTTCACCTCCCGAGGTCACACCTACCACCATGGCTCGGCTACAACAATCCACTCGCCACAGGCGGCAAACCCCATACCTCGCCTCTCTCTACGCACTCTTCGCCGCCGCCGCCTATGCGCAAGACTCAAAACGCGGTTTCGCATTCATCGGCGACTCACACGTACCGGACAATCGGCTACTTACTTCCGACAACTCACCACTGGCATGGTACTACAACTGGTCACCATACCCGAACAGCGACCTCATCCCGGCGGACAGTCTAGAGTTCGTGCCTATGATTCACGGCATAGATGCCACGGAAGACGATAACACCGAACGCGTGATTGAAGGCTTGCCGCAAAGTAGCAAGCACCTTCTCTCCTTCAACGAACCAGACGGCACCGAGGGAAGCGGCGGTAGCAGTATCAAGCCTGAAGATGCTGCGAAAGCATATATCGACTTCGTTGTGCCATTTCGGAATGGCGATAAAGGTGGTAGGAACTGGTTGATCAGTCATCCCAGTACGACGGGTAGTCCAAATGGTCTTGACTGGTTACGGAAATTCAATGAGTCTTGTTACGACATTGACTCAGAAAACGGCTGCCCCGCAGATTTCGTTGCCGTACATTGGTACGGCGCTTTCGATGGTCTGGCAGGCTGGCTAGGCACCTTGGATGAGTTCTACAACACGAATTCGACGAGGGATCAGCCGTTGAAGCTTTGGATTACCGAGATGGCGCTTCCACAGCAGGACGAGGAGAATACCGTTGGCATGATGAACCGCACACTGCCGTATCTCGATCAGCTGGATTACGTTGAGCGATACTCGTGGTTCGGTGCTTTCAGGACAGATGACGCGAATGAATGGACGGGCGATGGCGTCGCGCTATTTGATGATGATGGCGGCTTGACTCAGCTCGGTGCTCTGTACCTGGGTAATGGATTTGAGGAGGGACAGAAGGGTGAGGGTGCTGAAGAGGATGCGGCGAGTGGGTTGAGGGTCAGTGCTGGACTGATGGCTGCATTGTCGTTGTGCGCGGCCGCTTTTACGATGCTTTGAACGATGTAAATGACACATTTCCTTTTACTGTAGATACCTTAGCGAGTCGTATATATCACCGATAACATGTAGTAATGATTTTGACTCAAATGTTTTGATGCCGTGTTGCGCGCCTTCTAGCGCGGCTACCAAATATCCGGTCGGATCCGGCAAAGTTCGCGAAACCATCCCTCCATCCAACGGCATACCCTCACGACACCTCCATCACCTAGCGCACATACCGCACTAATGAGGATACAACTGCGGGGCCCGAGGAATTTTTTAGGGAATTAAGAGGAATTCGCGAAGGAGTACTGAACTACTGCAGACAGATTGCCGAAAGAAACGTATGTCGCGTCGCGATGTGCCTCTTCCCACGTTTCACGCCAAGCCATTGTAGATCTGTCGAAACGAGCCAAACACCTCATGTCAACCACTCAAACACCAAGTACTTCGATGCGAACCCACAAAACCAAGGGTCTTTGGTCCGGGAGCTATGATCCGATTCGCGCCTCTTGCTGCGACACTCGAGACACTATAGCCTGGAGACCTCGGGACCTACCATCTGATTACCACCTCAAACAAAGTATTGACCAAGCTTTCTCAAACGCGAGATAAGCTTTTCTTGACTACGGCGCTTATAGGATACAACCGCGACTAATACGTTCAGTTGTCTATTTCTGTACCGGCACATGTTGTTTCCTTTGTCGCCTGCATAGCCTCACCCTGTTTGAGCCTTGGCGGCTATCCGTTCCTGATGCGTAGGAGATCCATATCGGACACGAATATCGCCGAACACGTGTGGCGCGACGTGAACTGCTTTAGTTGGCTATCCACGTCAAAGAAGTTCGTGGTGCAGCGCGAATGTCAGATGGGGATAGTGGGACAGGGTGGGAGGCTAAGTCAAGGAAGAGCTGCATCCGTTGACCTGAGCACCCAGAGTCGATACGCGGGAACGCTTGATCTATGATAACAAACAGATGCCTTGGGCTCTGGAGTATCACATCGAATCCCTTGTTTCGTTTCCAGTATTCAGTCTGATATACGTCTTCCTCCCCTGCATCGATCACCCAATTCTCATTCATTCATCCAACCACCACACAACATGCGCTTCTCAATAATACCGACTGCAGGCCTCCTACTGACCTTGGCATTCGCAGCACCACTCAACAAGCGCGACTACGCTCCCTTCCCACTAGTAAACGGCTTCCCAAACCCCTCCCAAGAAACCGTCCTCCAAATCCAGAAAGACGGCCACGGCACCCTGCCCAACGGCCCTCCACCACCTACCCTCAGTCCCGATGGAACCACAAACCTCAAACTCATCGCACTCAACGAACTCTTCGAAGTAGCCTTCTTCACCGAACTAATGAGCAACGTCACAAACAAACTCCCCGGCTACGACCTCGGCGACCGCCAAGGCTACATAATCGAATCCCTCAAAGCCATCGTAAACCAAGAGGAAATGCACGTCCTAAACGCCAACGACGCATTGAAACACTTCAACACCGCCCCGATCGAAGGCTGCAAATACAATTTTCCCGTCGTCGACTACGAAGGCGCCATTGCCCTCGCAGCAACGTTCACAGACCTCGTCCTCGGCACTTTACAAGAAGTATCCGAACTCTTCGCCCGCTCCTCGGATTTCGGTCTCGTACACGCAGTAGCATCCGTAATAGGAAACGAAGGCTCGCAAGAAGGTTTCTTCCGCGCCGAGCAAAAGAAACGGCCAAGCGCCCAACCTTTCCTCACGTCCTCATCCCGCGATTTCGCATTCACTGCTATCCAAGAATTCGTCGTGGAGGGCAGTTGTCCGAACATCGGCACCATCCCACTCAAGCGCTTCAAACCCTTGGCAGTCGAAACGAAAGACATCAAAGCGCAGACCCAGAACATCCAATTCTCCTTCTCGATGAAGGACGCAGGTATGTTTGAGATTGATATGCTCAAGCTGGTTTGGATTAATGGGCAGAATGTGCCGGTTGTCAGGGCGCTGCAGAATGTGGAGATGAAAGATGATAGGGTTGTGTTTGAGGCGGAGTTTCCGTTTGAGGAGTTTGTTATGGAGGGGTTGACGATTGCGGCGGTGACGATGGGTAAGGATTCTTTTGAGGGGGTGGGGGAGGTTGCGGAGAAGACGGTGTTTGGGCCGGGGATTATTGAGTTGGATTGAGGGGTGCGGTGGGGTGTTTGTTGTGCATAGCGATGGTGTTGGTCTTGCGCTGAGGACAGGGTTTCTGGTGTGTAGATAATTGTAATGTCTTGTATCTCTACTTCTGCCCATCTTGACCCTTAACGCTCATGTGTGAATATCCTTTGGACTTGCGATGACCCAAATCGCCCACACTTCGTTTCACAACTCACTCATAGGCTTCGCCAGCAAAGTCCTAAAATCAACCGTTTCCCTAAAGCTCTTCAAAAACTCTCTCATCGTACTCGGCAACTTTGGTTTATGCCAAGTCCGCATAATGCTCATTATATATTCCTCATCAGGCTCCCGATTTCTATTTAGATAGAACAGCGAATTGCCCAGTGGCATCCAAATAGCCATGATACCCGTTACACCAAACTGCTCTTGGAGGAAGTAGTCGACTGACTTCATGATCATTCTCGCAAACGGTCGGGGGTGCGGGCGATCAGGGTGCGAAATCGAGGTATCAGTGTAGAGATCGATACCGCTTGCGACATCGAGGGTGGAGTATAGGAAGAGGGCTGTCAACCAGTAGCGTACAGTGACACAAGCAATGTCTATGCTGGGAAAGGTGATTGGCGTTGCGTTGCTAACAATCTCGGGTGTGTAGATGGCGTTCGCATCTGCATTGACCCAAGCTTCGAGCTTGAAATGAAGTGTCCAGCATTTCGCTATGGTGTATACTTGCAACCCCTCTCTTTCTTGCTCGCTCAGATTTTCGAATTGTAGCTTGTCTATAGCGTCCAAAAGCTCGGGTACACCGCAGAGGATGTCGATAAGAACGTCGTCGGATGACTTGGTCCGCCCTTTCCAAGGTATCGTCTTCCACTCTTCCTCATTGAGTATGGTTGGTTTCCTGCCGCGGATGGCAGGACCAAGTAGCCGGTATCTTGCATTAGTGAAGAGCCTATGCGCTGCATCGTTTTCCGCAAATATCTCCGGGCCACGGCTGACTATCATAGCTAGCTCACCCTCACAGTGACTGAGCCAGCTTTTCGCCTGGTTGGTCGTATTCGGTTCCGCGCCGAACAGCATATCGAAGAGAGCCATGACTCGCGGTACAACAAGTAGTGACTCGCTGCTCGCTCGAGCGGGGTTGTGTAAAGCCACGGCTGTTTCCTTGAGCGCTTTCCCGTATAGTGTTCTTCCTTGCCGCGTGAGAGCTTCGTTATCCGAAGTTACCCCAAGCTGTGTTATGCCAACTGCCAGAGCAGCCATCTGTAATGCTTCATCGCGCGTGCTAAGCAGGGGTAGCAAGCTAACAAACTCCTTCGCGTCTGTGTTGGTGGTGTGGATTACGCCCTGGGGGTTGTACATATTCAAGAAAGTCGCAATAGTCTTCTCGCTGTACGCAGATCTAGCGAGCGCATCGGGCAGCATGATTGGTATCGACATGGAACATGGTGTCTGTGTTCCCGGAGTTGATACAGGGTTGAATTGCATTATCTGCATGCCTTGCCGAGGTGGCTGTCCGGGAGACTTCTCAGGCGTCGCATGGCGTCCTAATTTTGGTGCAGGACGGGTAGGTCCGCTTCCTTTTTGGTAGATGAAGATGCGGTCCGAGTCGTAGCCTCCGCATGCTGTCCCGCGTTCTTTGCATTGACCGCACTCAGGCTGGACTAGATCGCACTAAAACACATCAGCTTCACATCTTGGGTGTTGCTCGTGGGCGCTTGCACTTACGCCCTTCTTTCTTTTTCGGCACGTCACGCAGCCTTTGGAGCGTCCTGGAACTCCCACCATCTCGGAAAGTTAGAGTAGGCGCATGCACGATGGATTTCGTCCGCTGTCACTCCTGTTCAGCGCAGAATGTTCCCTATATGGACATACATTGTCTGCCTGCTAGCGTAACGGTAAAGAAGCGCAGTCTCGTAGGGCTGTGAAGCGCCTGTAGTAGCTGTAGGGCTAGCTATTGATTGGTGCGCATTTGTCTATGACGACGGTTGAAATGCTTGGGAGGTGGCTTGTATGACTTCCACGTTGTTAAGCATCAGGCGTTCCACTATGTCATCTCAATCAACCAATGATGGTTCGTCGCGCCTTACCCCTTTCGGCTGATTCTGCGACAACTCGCCTTGCTGCAGAGGGGCCTCAGCTTTCACCGCAGATAGCTCGGCGTAGATCGAAGTAGCCATGCGATATCTTGATTACCATTGCGATCGCATCTAAGCTTTGATAACCGGTCAAGGGGACTCTCCTGTCGCATGGGGGACTCTTTGCGGGGTTAATGCGCGCTGGGTACCTTCCGCTGACAAAACGTCTTCTCCTGCATACCAGCGCGAAATGTTCTCAATCCGGTATGGTGATCGTCTGCACACTGTGTGGTCAACTGGTATAACATGAAGCCAACTCTCTCTCGAAGATGGCATACAAACAGCAGCCATCATCACCACGACTACTTTCAATCAGCTTCTACATCTAGCACTAAATATCAATCGTCTCCATCAACTACACGACAACTATCCACCTTCCAAGTCCCACCAAACCACACTCCTCTCCAAGGTCTCGGCATCACCCACCAAAATGGTCGCCTCAGCCCCCACCCCCAACTTCTTCACCCGCCGCATAATCCACCCCCTCGGCTTCACAAAAACCTACAACTTCCTCCTCTACTTCATCTTCAGCGGCGCCCTCCTCGGCTTCGTCCTAGCCCGCCTCTCCTACCTCGACTTCTCGCGCAACTTCTGCCCCTCTTCCGGCCCTTCCTCCAGCGGCAACGGCGCCGCACCAGGAGAATGCTACTACTACCTCAACTTCAGCCAATACAAAATCGGAATCCTTTTGCATCTCGCTGGCGTGCTACCGGCTAGTCTACTTGCTGTACTGCAGTTCACGCCGTTTATTCGAAAGAGGTGGATTATCGTTCATCGCATCGGCGGGTACGCTGCGCTTTTGCTGTACATCGTCGGTCTCGTTGGCGCACTAATGATCGCACGACATGCATTCGGCGGCGGGCTTGATGTGCAGGCTTGGGTTGGACTCGCTGGACTGGCATCACTGGGCTGCTTCATCGTCAGCTACATCAATGTCAAGAGACTTCAGATTGAGCAGCACAGAGCATGGATGCTGCGAGGCTGGTTCTACGCCGGCAGCATCATTACGACTCGCCTCATCATGATCATCGCTGCGCAGGTCATCGCTAAGCAAAATTACCACGTCGTCTGGTCCTGCGCAAAGCTCGCTGCGACAGTTGCCGGCAACGTGGATTTAGCGTCTTCGTACCCTGCCTGCGTGGCTTTTGTCAACGGCACGGATCCAGAGGCCGTCTCCAGCGTCGCAGCGACGTTTGCGGTAGGAGGCCCGGAGAACACGGGGGCTGCGCTGAATGCGGCGTTCGGTATGGCGTTGTGGGTGTCGTTTGCGCTGCACGCTTTTGGTGTCGAGGTGTACTTGCAGCTTACGCCCAAAGAAGCGCAGAGATTGAGGCAGATCAGTTATCAGAGGCAGTTGGAGGCTGGTATGCGCAACCCAGGCTCTGCAGGTCTTACGGCGGATCGTCTGGGGGATGCGGAGAAGTGGGTTCCGGCAGAGACCAAGGAAGAGACCAAAGAAGATGGTGCGAGCATGGCGAGGACTGAGTCGACTGACTCTAGCGCTGATTTTCGGGTGTTTTAGCATAGTGTATACCGATTTGCTTTTCGATTAGAGTAATGTTTTGGGAGCGAGGCGTTGGAAAAGTCATTTATGTAGAACATTAATTTATAATTCAGAGTATCATTGAAAACTTCGTCCCTAACTTCTTTGACAATATCGATAATTCATCAGTCATCATGTCTAGCGATCCAGAATCTTCATTCGCCCAGACCGCTCACCAAGGCAGTTGAAGAGGAGTAGACAACTTGCTCTTCGGTCCCAACACCGGCTCAGCAGTACCAATATCACTACACCCCTGTTAGCTCACTTCCACATATCTCAGATCAACAACAACGTACCCAGGTCCCCTCGGCGCCCAATACTGTCCAGTATGACTAATATCAAACGTCTCAATCCACTCCACCAGGCTCTCCGCAGCAACGTCCGGCTCAACCGCCCCTCCTTCATCCCAGAACTTATCAAAGCCCACATCACGAGTCATTTCCGTCCGCATGAAGCCCGGATGAACGGAGACAATCGCGATCCCCCTATCCCTCAAATCTATGCTCAACAACTTCATGCACATGTTGAGCGCCGCTTTGCTAGCATGGTGACCGTAGTTGCCGCCGCCTTCAGATTCGTGTCGTAGGGTTATACTGCCGCTTTCGGATGAGACGAAGACGATCTTGGAGGACGAGGAGAGGAGCGTGCTGTTGTAGTTTGCGAGGGCGGTGACGAGGATGGTGGGGCCGATGGCGCAGATGGTGTACATGCGCTGTTGCGCGGAGAACGAGGGCTCCTCAAGCGATTCTGTCTTAAAGTATCCGGCTGTTATGATGACGATGTCTAGGTGTGGTATGTGGTTTGATTCAAGAAAGTGGACGAGATCGCTGCCGACGTGGGGGGATTCGAGATCGACGTTGGGGATGTATGTTATGTTGCTTGCTATAATGAATTAGTCTGATACAGCACTTCAGAGGAGTACGAATTCGCCTACTGTTCTCTGGAGGCTCTGATGCCCTCGCGGTCGCTAGAACATGGTTGTGCGCGTCTGCTGCGTATTTCTGTACGATGCTCGCACCAAGGCCGCGCGTTGCGCCTACAACGAGTATGGTAGGCATCTTGGTGGTATGAATAAAAGAACGAATGCTGTGAGATTGTCAATAGGAGTTCAAAAGGTGGAATACAAGGCTCTGAGTGAAGGATTCCGATGACGTAGGTGGGTGTTACACAGGTGTGAGATTGCGCTAAGATAAGGACGCGTCCCGTGGTCGCGTCAAGAAAGAACGCTCACCTTCCTGTACCTTCGCTTCAAGTTTCAGCTGGATGGATAGTAAGATTCCTGGTGTCCTTCGCATCACAGTCGGGTCATCAACCGAGAGAGAACCATATATCTGTCAAGATTAAAC